GGTTGGAGCGCTGGAGCGCTGGAGCAGAGATGATGAAGTCGCTGGAGCGGAGCTGGAGCGGAGATGATGAAGTCGCTGGAGCGGAGATGATGACAGAGACGGCTAGGGTTCAGGAGTGGGAGAGAGGGATTCGTCGTGGCCCGTGGGAGAGGGTTTAATTTTAAGAAGTCGGGTTCGGGTTCGGGTCGGTTTCGGGGCGAAAAAAATCAAATACGTGTGATAGCGGGTTTAGCAGGTTTAGCCGCTTTTATCCGCTTTTAAGCGTTTTTACGCGCTATTCGAATGCATAGCGGTTTTTCCCGCTTAATCCAGCCGCAAAACCCCTACGCGTAGCGCTGAAGGGCTGTGACCGCTATTCGTGCCGTTATAGCCCCGCTATTGGCTGCTATTTCATAAGCAAAAGGACAAATGAAGAAAGGGGGGACCACTAGGGGAGAAACACCCCTAGGTGTTTTCGCCCGAGTTTTGACCCCCGCGCGACAGTTTGATACCACGAATCATTTCTTTTACCCCCCCAATGTTTCCACAAAAGTTGATTTACCCACGCGGTTCAAAACCCTAAGGTGGGCGCCGGTCAACGCGTAACCTTAGGTCAACGCCGGACAGCGTTACAATATTGCTTCAACATGGTCTCAAAGTAACGCAGGTTCAAATCCTACCAGCCAAGAATTTAAAGCAGATTTAAAAAAATTAACATTACTGTGTAAGTCCAGGTTTCAGCCTATAAGAAGGGCGTGGGGCCATGTTAGAATATAAGAATATAGTGTAATGGGTAGAGGGACTTTAGCATGGTGTCAAAGCAATGTAGGTTCAAATCCCAACAACCACGAATTTAAAGCAGATTTTCTAAAAATTAACATTGCTGTGTGAGTCTAGGTTTCAGCCTATAAAAAGGACGCTCAACCTGCTGAGGTATGTTAGAGTGTAAAAATATAATACTTAACCCTACCCACAACTTCAGAGTAGTTTCGGTGTAATGGTTAGAAGAACTTCAACAACATTGTACTTAATGTACCACTGAGAATGCATTGTTTTGACACAAAAGAAGCATTCTGAAGAAATATATGTAGTGATAACTAGTACTGCACTCTATCTATGTAAGTCAAGTACCACTTTTACTTTTCCATTGTAACTAACCTCATGGAATTGTCTAATATGAAACAAATTGTGTTTTACTGCAGGTATACAAAAGTGAACTAGAAGTTAATGTCATTTCCTGCCCCATTTAATCTTCTAGATCGGATTTATCACTCTGCAAATTCTTCTGGATCTGTTGGAGCCTTGGAGTTAATCCAACTGCTCATACCTTCTGATTCGGACTTCTGTAGAAGTCTCAAACTGTCATCTTTTCTTTTGTTATCCGTAACTGTGATCATAATTTTGATAGTTCTCCAGTAGTTAACCCAGTTGTCGAATGTAAGCGCCTGTGGACACTAAGTAATGCAATCAACTAAAGAAGCCTCAGTTCTAAGCTCTACGGTCTACCAAGGGAAAGTGAGAGCAATAGTTCAATTTCCATTGTAATCATTAAATTTCTATGTATCCTTAACCTCTTTATCTTTAATCGAAGTGAAATTCACATCATCCTTTTTGCTAACGAACTGCACTGGATTGTGGTATGCCATCTATATTGCGGCCACCTTAGATCTACAGGACCCATCTAATTCTGTTCTTCAACCCTGACTGTTTCTTGAATTTTATTATTCGCCATCGAAACTTATTGATTCATATAACTTCGATAAGGGTGTATGTTGCTTTTATGTCTGAAAGTCAGATATCAGGACTTATCATTTTTAATCTTTTAGTTTTGTACTAAGGTGATTCCTCAGTTTGATTTCCTTGCATCTAACATCTGCAGATATTTTTGGATAATATTTCAATTTGTTGTTACTAAGCCATTTTTGACCAGGGTCTAAACCATTTGGAACCTTCTGAACTGGTTGATCATCTTAGAGAAGCCATGGGAATGGATGGCCAGGTTTCTTCCAAATCTACCATTGTCTGATTATTCAGAGTGTTGTATTATTGACATCTGTCTTAAAGAACGCTCTTGAGTATTGTTTTTTTGACAACTTGTCTCATGCAGATTGTACATGTGGAGTTCATAAATGCTAAAGAAGCAGTTTATGTGGAACTTCCAGATTATCTTTCAGACAACTGTAGGACAGCACTTGAAAAGCTAGGAATATCCAGGTTATACAGCCATCAGGTGCTGCTGTATTTATATTAAAAATTTATATTTCCCTTAACTTAGTAGCTTCTAATAGCAGTTACATTATGCAGGCTGAATCTATATGTGCTTCTATTTCTGGGAAGAATGTTGTTGTGGCAACATCAACTTCTAGTGGCAAATCTTTATGCTACAATATTCCAATTCTTGAGGAACTTTCAAAGAATCTATCATCATGTGCTCTTTATATATTCCCCACCAAGGTTGATGTCTTGATATTGCTTTCCACCACTCTTTAAACTACCAAGAAGTTCTAGATACTCTGCCTTGCTAACTTATGATTTAGAGACTAAGTACACTTTCCATTTAACATTTTATGTGTTGTATACTTTCCCATACATGTTGGCATGTGCTCTTTGAATATGTTGCCATCTTACGGTTATGGGACTATTAATATGACACGTTTCTTCCTACAGGCTTTAGCTCAAGATCAGCTAAGAGCTTTGCTAAACATGACAACAAGCTTTGATGTTGATTTAAGTCTTGGTGTCTATGATGGTGATACTTCCCAAGAAGATCGTATATGGATTAGGGACAACGCTAGACTGGTATATTTGGAGATCTGCACTCCCATCAGAAGTTGCTTTTTGTTACTTGAGGCTTCATGATCTTTTTGCTGAGATTAATATACATATCTGCAGCTTATCACAAATCCGGATATGCTGCACACATCAATCTTGCCATATCATAAAAAATTCGAGAGGATTTTATCAAATCTCAGGTATTAGGTAGATCCATGTTGTAATGCTGATTACCAATGTTCTAAAACACAGTTTTATTATGCGTACGACCTGAGAGTGAGTAGTGTTTAATCGGATTCATGCGCCGGTTAAGCGTATTATGTGGAATTATGCGGATTAAATTTTTTAACATATTTAACATATATTGTTGTAAATTAATTATCATATGTTAAAAATTATAAAAATTCATGAGAAATAGAATATACCATGGAAAAAGATAACAAATGTGTAATTAAGCAATGATATAAATAGTTTACATCCAAGATTAAGCTATTAAACTAACGACATGAACCGTTCAAAAATTCTTCACCTGCTACAACAACTACGATTATTAATTAAATAAAAATGTCAAACACATAAACAACTTGAAAGGTAATAAAATAATTAAGCTACCAAACTAATAGAACTGTTAAGAGCTTGATAGTTTACTCTTGGTCAAAGATGTCCTGAGATAAATATGTGACATGTTCACAGATGGCTTACTAGTGGATTTTGGGGACCACTGATGTTTAGTTTTTGACAAAGGTAGAAATAAAGATAGTTGGACATCTGTTCTGCTGCAGTAAAAAGTTTAGAAATCAGTAAGTGCATAATGAAAAGATAGAGAAAATAAAGGTAGAAATAAAGAGAGTTGGACATCTGTTCTGCTGCATTAAAACGTTTATAAATCAATAAGCGCATAATGAAAAGATAGGGAAAAGGGAGTAAGATTTAGCTAGCATACCCATTAAAAAATTAAAAATATGAAATAAGGACCATGACTGCATAAAGTAGTGAGTTTCACTAGTTTGATTCATTTTGAAGTCGAAGGCTAGTATTCGGCCGATTACTTGGTCGCATAATCCGCGTTTTTGAACACTGCTGATTCCTTGTTTATGATCTATAGAAATTAGAGTTGAGCGTACTAGAAAGTCATTATCCTTCTATTATTCGTTTATATTTTGACTCTAGCAAATGCCTTGAAAAGAAAAGTTATATAAATGTCTTTACTTTGTGAGCACCCCTAAAGTAAAGCATATTATTCAGGTGTATCGTTATAGATGAAGCTCATGTATTTAAAGGAGCTTTTGGGTGTCATACTGCACTTGTACTTCGGAGATTGCGGAGGATTTGTTCTCATGGTACAGAGAATTTGCAAGCTGTTGATGATTCAAGTTTGTTTTCATCATTTTTTCTATTTATTCTACTGAGACAAGCTGCTCATTTTTCAGTATATGGCAGTGATCCCTCCTTCATATTCTGCACTGCAACCTCTGCAAACCCTCGTGAGCATGCCATGGTATGCTGTGCGAATTCAGCTACAATTTTGCCTCTTATTATGTTTATCACATGTTTTGAGAACTTAACAGTATATGAATGCTCATAAAATTGACTTGTAACTCTTGTTTGTACTATGTACTTTTTTCAATTTAACTAGCTGGGTAACACTGAGGGATCCCTATGTAATGGAACCCTTGAAACTTTCCAGTCACCCTATTTTGGACTTTTTGTTAATAAACTGAGCATGAGAGGCTTCTAGAGTCACATACAGACTTCAGGAAGAAACAAAATAAAGAAGTAATAGGTTCTTTTTTCCCCTTGTGTGTGGGTGGGTGGGTGGGGAATGAGACTTACAAAACCATGACTTTTGTGCTTATTGTTTAACCAATTGAATAGATTATCATGCTATTAAAAATAGATTTCGTGCTGCAGTTTTTGTTTGCTCGTTATTCTGCATATCTTTCGTTTAACTGATTTTTCTTCATAAAATTCTCATCCATCATATTTGCTTTTGCAACTTCCTCGCAAAAGGACGCTTCGGTGAAAACAGTTTTAAATGAAACCAATACTACGCATTAGCTCTTTCATTTAATTAGAAGAATCTTCTTTAATCACCCTAAAGTTATTTGGTCTGGATAACAATTAACCAAAGACACAAGACCTGGTAAACTGCAGGCCTCTGAACTCTGGGGTTTCACAATTCCGTGTGTTGTGATTCAAAGCTTAAACGGAACACCCAGCGAAGTCCTCCTTTCATTACCATTAGACTGGTGAAATACTTCATGATTCTCTGTTGTTTTGACTGTGCACTTAAATTTTCTAGTAAGATGGATATATGTCTGCCTTTATCTTTGACACTATCAGTTGAATATTCAAGGAGTGGGAAAAATTCTGTTTGGCTCTAAGGTTTGTCTGTACATCAGTTAAATATGATTTTCTATAGCAAATGTATCATCTTCCCCTTAGTCCACACAGTTAAATGTTGATGAGTTGAATAGTAAAAAAAGGTTATCCTTTGGTTTTAGATAGCAGAGCAGTAAAATGTCAACCGCTCCCTCCCCCCAGCCTCACCATATTTACTTGCATTTCCAAACCCGACTAGGCTCACTCACACATAAATGGCCCACATGCATTTGCATGTATCCACACACATAACAAATGTAGGAGTAAACATATGTGCTTATGACCATATAAAAAGAAACCCCAGTTCAAGAGTGTTAGCTTCATGTTGTTCCGTAGTGAATACTGTCCACGCATGCACACACAAGTGCAGGACAATTTGCTGTCCAATAGCAATATTGATAGCAGAAAGGACGGAAACTTATGCCACTGGAAAATTTACAATGAATGTGAAGATTCTTTTTTGTTTTTCTTTTATGGTCTAATTATTGGAAATTAGGTGCCCTGCACCCATAATCCATGTTTAAATCAGGCTCTTACAACTTATTGCAATAGCAAATATTGACAGCACAAAGAGCAAATGCAAGTTATCTCATTAGCAGATATTCACAGCAGGAAGAAGAAAGCATAGATGTTCTTTTTTTTCCCTTTCTTTTTTCTGTATAACTGGACTTTGCAACCCCAAACAGCTGGGACAAAGTTCTTTATACCAAAGCTTAATGTGTAATTTATCTGTAATGTTCTGGTATATTAAATTTAGTTTATAGGTTCATTTAATTTGAATTTGTGAGTTACTGATTTATGACAAGAAATGTTCTACGTTAGCAGGAGCTCGCCAACTTGGAGACTTTAGAGTTAGTTCAGAATGATGGAAGTCCATCTGGTCAAAAATATTTTCTTTTGTGGAATCCTCCATTACGATCAGTAAGTGTACTTTTATTATTTGAAAGGAAATGAATCATTTAATGCTCTTGCAATTAGTTGTTGCTCTAATATTTGGATCAAATTAATTGACAAATGTATTATTTCAATTTTCTTCTTAGGCACCAAAATTTCCCAGCAAAAATGAACAGAATTTTACGAAAAAAGATCTATGCACAAGACGATCAAGGTAGAGATTTTTTTGTGTTATTTTGGGCAAGCTACCATGGTTTTGTGTTTTCTACTTGTGCTATTAAGCCTTGAATTTTATCTTTAATCGATCATTCAACCTACTGTTCTAGTGCTCGGCTAAATGTTAATTTAGCATAATGACACTACTTAATTTTTTTATATTGCCACTTTGACCCAAAAGCTTAACTTGTTAAGTTCTGGATAAAAAATGCATCTCTAGCAAACTTAATACCTTCCTAAAATTTGCTGGTAAATTAGAGAGCAGAAAGTATGGAAATAAGACTTCAATCCAGAAAACCTAGTGCTCAGACGTATGTCATTACCACTTTTCCATACGTTTAAGCTGTCAGATTTTAGATCATCATTTTATGTATAACCAAATGAATACATTTATAGTGTGACCAAGACTTAGGACTTCTTGCCACTTATGACATCCATTGGTTAATTGTTGCATCGATCCATTAGTTTGATTTCTTTATTTGGTCACATTACTTGACATTGTTAAAGTTCCTTTTAAAGATTCTAGTGGAGGAATCTATCTTTACCATTTGTCATGTTTCTTTGTATACCAATCTTCCTGTTAAATCTTTCTTCTCGTGTTTCACTCTCTGAGTAGGAATTTCCGCTGTGGTCAGCCCATCTAATGCCATTTTCAGCAAACCCTATTTCGTGTAACCTTATAAGTAAACCTTCTTTCTAAGAGAACAAAAAATAGTCTTGCCAAACAATGAGTAAACCTACTTATACCTTCCAAAAAAAATAGTTGTGAAAATCCCAACTTATTATTTCCTACTTATAAGGGAAAAATAAGTAAACAAGTAAAATTTACCAAATACCATCTTGAATCCTTGCAAGGAAAAACACGCTTATAAGTTAAAATAATTGAGTTCCCCAAACATGCTCAAAACATGCTCCTACTAGGGCATGCTTAAGTACAACGTATTTTTAAATTTCCTTCTCAAAAATGCTAGATCCAGTTTGATCTCAAGCTCATAGAATTTACTGTATACTTCAAACCTTTCTAATTCACGTCCTACGTTGGACTATTTCTGAGTGATGTACTTTCCTGTTCTGGGTGTGGTGTTCTTACTGTACTACACTAGAGGAAGTGAGATTCTAGTGGCGGGCATATAATATTTTTAATGTGTCTTTCATAGATTCAAGGATGGCCCTCACCAGTGTGGCACACATTTCTGGTCAAATTAGGCTGCGTTAGGAATTATATCCTTAG